CTTCCTGAAAGGACGGACGGGGCTGATATGTGCTCATTTCTGGAGAAGTGGCTGATTGATGTTCTTGGTGCAGACAACTTTCCCGGACCGCTGCTAATTGAGAGAGCACACAGAATTGGCAAAAACAACGAAAGCGACTGACAAACAGAGGCATGACCTAGGGTTGTGATAATGAAGTTTCTCAACTATGCGGATAAAACTCAGGTAATGAAGGCTGCCAGAAAAAATTGTCCGCTGTCTGTCTACAACCAGAGGATCATGTTTTTCCCTGACGTCTCTGCAGACCTTCTCAAGTGAAGGAAAAATCTTTGATCAAGTGAAGAAAGACCTGGCCTCCGTCTCCATACCGGAGCTGTGCTTCGGGATTATCCACCTGGCTAAACTCCTGGTTACCTTCCAGGGGAAACGCTACATCTTTGACACGCCCAGAGCAGCAGAGAAGTTTGTACAGGGACTACAGCCGGAAGCCTGTGGGTAAATGTAACACTAAACACTAACAATGTCTCAGTGGCACTGACGCAGCTTTGCAGTGGGCAGAAATGAACAATGACAGTTAACACTAACTATAATTTATGCCCCTATCCCTCTGCATGTCCCTGTTTACGTTTGGCCACAAGCTATACAGTGGTTTATAATTATGCTATATTATGCGCAAACTAAGACAAAGTTGTACTGATTGGTTGTCTTGGTTTATAATGTTACTGACTATTTTTGGAGGGCTTTGCTCTGTATGTTAGGCATGCTGTTCCTCTCTACGTTGACAAGGGTGGACTGGCGAAGCTCCATAATTGGGCCCAGTTCTGGGCACCTAGGGATCTGTTTACTGTGGGGTGGGTGGGTGTGTGGGGGAGGTGCACCCAGTTGTTATTCAAATGTTCCTTTTGTTACGTGTTATAGTTGTGCATCTCTACTATTGTATAATATCTTTCCTTTTTGCCATGGTTTTGTTTCTGTTAGCAACCAATTTAAGTGCATCCAAGCTATCTTTACCAAAAATATATATTACAAGTATGACATCCATGAAATCCAGTTCACCTCCTGGAACGTAAGAGGGCTAAACAAACTGGTTAAATTAAAGCAAGTCATGAATAGGATCCAGCAATTAAAAATATCCAAAATATTCTTTCCCCAGGAGACTCATCTAACCTCTGAGGAGGTGGTTAGAGTGAAGAGGAGATGGCCTGGCCATGTGTTCTCAGCTGCTTTCAGCTCACATGCACGAGGGTAATCACCCTTATACATAAGTCGTTGCCCTTTCAGCTTATTAATGTCACCCAAGACAAACTTGGTAGATATCTTATCATTCAATATGAAATCCTCTCAGTCAGACTAAATCTGGTTAACGTGTATGGGACAAATACTGACAACTCCATATTTTTCAGACACCTCTTTCAATCACTAGTGACTCTGTCTGGACACCTTATCAGTGGTGGAGATTTTAATTGTGTACTCCTACCAGTGCTGGATAGATCTACTGGTATAGACACTTCACACTCTCAAGTTAGAAGAGAGTTACTTCAATGTATGAAAGATTTTAACTTGATAGATGTGTGGAGAAATAAATACCCAAACAAAAAAACTTTCTCCTGTTATTCCAGTACGTATCAGACCTTTTCTAGAATTGATTATTTTTTAGTCTCAGCCAATTTAGTATCTGAACTTGCAGGCTGTTGGTATGACAGCATTGTAATCTAAGATCATGCCTCAACTTCATTTCTTTTTAAACTGCCCAATATACTGCATCACTCTCCAAGATGGTGTCTCCAGACGAGTTGGCTGAGAGATCCAGAATTTATTGAATTTATTGGAACACAAATTGATTTGTTTTTCGAAAATAATACTGGTCAAACATCAGCAGCTGTGAGGTGGGAGGCCTTTAAAGCCTTCATAAGAGGCCAAATGATAAGTTTTACAAGCTTTAAGCACAAGTCTCAAAAATTGGAATTAGAACAGCTTGAACGCAGTAATAAAAGAACTGGAAACCCAGATTTATCAGAATCCTAATCAGCAGCAGATTACGGAGCTTCATAAACTGAGGGCAAAATATAATGTTTTATCTACTAGTAAGGCTACAAAAAGCTTGATGAGACTAAGGCAATCCTTTTACAAACATGGTGAAAAGGCCAGTAAGTTGTTGGCCTGGCGCAATGAAGTGATGCAAGCAGAGAGGGCAATAAACTCTATTCAAACAGACAATGGGGTGATAACTTATGATCCAAAAGAAATAAATAACACTTTTCTTCACTTTTACCACAGACTGTACAGTTCTAAATATTCAGAGGCAGCGCCTCGTCTACAAAAAATATTTTTGGATTCATTAGAATTTACTCCCTTAGATGAGGATTATTTAAATTTATCAGAGTTCAGTGTTGGGGCCCAATAATTATCTGAAGCTATAACCAATCTGAAAGGAGGTAAAACTCCCGGATCTGACATGATTCCAATTGAAGTATATAAAATATTTAAAACCAAGCTGATACCACCTCTGCTTGAGATGTACCAAGAATCATTTAATATTGGATCCCTTCCTCCCTCTCTCAATACAGCAACAATTACACTATTGTTGAAGCCCGGGAAGACACCAAATCAATGTGGATCCTACAGGCCTATATCGCTTATCAATCATGATCTCAAAATTCTATGTATAGTACTGGCTATGAAGTTAGAACCTATTTTACCTAAAATAGTTCATGCTGACCAAAATGGATTTATTCAAGGAAGACAGGGCTTCCACAACATAAGGAGAGTGCTCAACATTCTCTTTGAGAAATCTGGCCTCCCTCCATCCTGTCGTTAGACGCTGAAAAGGCCTTCGACAGGGTGGAGTGGTCGTACCTATTTGATGTTCTGCAAAGGTTTGGCATTGAGGGGAAATTTCTTAGTTGGATTCGCCTTCTCTACTCCAACCCACAAGCGAAAATCTTAATTAATGGCCTTCTATCAAACACTTTTAAACTCAATTGAGGGACGAGACAAGGCTGCCCTTTGTCTCCTTTGTTGTTCATCTTAGCCACTGAGCCATTGGCCATGGCTATTCGCAATCACAACAATATAACAGGAATAACAATTGGAGATTTTGAACACCGCATAGCCTTGTACGCCGATGATGTAATATTGTTTTGTTCCATCTTAAGACAAACCTTGCCCGCCCTACTTGATCTGATAGGCACTTTTGGTGTTTTTTTGGGTTATAAAATAAATAATAACAAATCTGTAATAATGTTTTTGGCAGAAAACGAGAGACGTAACCCTTCTGTCTCAACTCCATTTGCGGTATTGAGGGAGGAATTTACTTACCTAGGGATTAAAATAACGCCGACTATTGACAAAATTATCACGGCCAATTATAACCCCCTTACAGAGGGAGTTATACAGCTTATAAATAGGTGGACAAAACTACCAATATCCTTGACAGGACGCATTAACATCCTAAAAATGACAATTCTGCCTAAATACTTGTACTTCTTTCAATCGATCCCGCTTTCCCCACCTCTCTCTCTCTTTCAGTTGTTAAATAAAACATTTTCAAATTTCATCTGGAACAATAAACGACCGAGACTCAGGCTTTCTTTGTTATACTTACCATATGACAGAGGTGGTTTGAAATTACCCAATCTCAGATGGTATTTCATGGCAGCTCAGATTAGAGCTGCCATGTTTTATTTTGTAAATGACCACCCCCCAGCGTGAGTAACAATTGAATCCCAGTAAGTTTCAATCCCGTTGAACTTGTATATATAGTATTCAGCAATTAAGAAAAATTACAATATTAATTTGGCAGAATGTTTCAACATATATAGGAGAGACACAACAATTATCTCAGTTTTCACCAATCTTCAGTAACAATGACTTTGACCCAGGCAGAGCGGATCCAGGATTCAGACTCTGGTCCTCTAAAGGTATAGCTAAGGTGTCTGACCTATACAAGGAAAATACATTTATGTTATTTGAAGAACCACATACAAGATCTCCACAAAGCACTTTTTCAATTTTCTCCAACTACGGAGTTTTATAAGGTCTAGACAGAGTAATAGTTTGGAGCTTCCTCCTCTACCTACACTAGAAGACATCACTTTAAAGCACATAAAAAATAGGGGGCAAGTGACCATTTTGTATAATCTGCTTGTAAGCAAATGTAAAGAATCCTCAAATAATATCCTACAGGCCTGGAAGATGGATCTGACAGAGAATGTAACAGAGGAGGAATGGTCAGAGGCTTGCTCCCTAGTTCAAATGCAAACAGTGAACACAGATTCTAAATTATTACAATATAAATGGCTAAGTAGACAGTATATCACTCCAGCTAGGTTGCATCACTTTAACCCCAATATCCCTGACACATGCATCAAATGTAATCACCATAAGGGGACACTGTTTCATTATATGTGGGAATGCCCTCAGATAACTGGTTTTTGGAGGAAGGTCCTGGACCTAACTGGTCATATTATTGGAAGAAAGGTACCCTTTGATGCTAAACTATGTATTTTGAATATTTACCCAGATGATTTTGTCATCTCTAACAATGTGAGGGCCTTGTTGAATTTTTGTCTGCTTGAAGCTAAAACATGTATTGCTCGTGTTTGGAAGGAACAATCCATTTGTGGAATCTCTCAGTGGCTGAAAGAAATAACTTTTAACTTTGCTCTTGAAAAGATAAGTTATTTCTTCTAACCGCTTCATCCTCTTGAGGGTCGCGGTGGGGCTGGAGCCTATCCCAGCTGACATTGGGCGAGAGGCAGGGTACACCCTGGACAGGTCGCCAGACTATCGCAGGGCTGACACATAGAGACAGACAACAGAGAGACAGAGTTATCAATTAACCTAATCCCCAATCTGCATGTCTTTGGACTGTGAGAGGAAGCCGGAGTGCCCGGAGAGAGCCCACGCTGACACGGGGAGAACATGCAAACTCCGCACAGAAGGGCTCCCACACCCGGGATCAAACCGGGAACCCTCTTGCTGTGAGGCAACAGTGCTAACCACCACACCACTATGCTGCCCTACTGTTGTCCTTATTATTATTATTAATAATATTATTATTATACTATTTTATTTTATACCATAACCCTTACTGTTGTTCTTGTATCACTGTATGTTGAGATGGTTATTTGTAATCCATAATTTTTTCTCTTGAAAAAGCAATAAAGAAAGAAAAAAGAAAACACAGAAAAAAAAAACAGTCTGTCCCATCCCACTGTCCCATCAGTCTTTAGACATACAGAATAATTGTGATCCTCGCAGAGGTCAGTGTGTAGATACTGTTGTTTTTTGAGTTTTCTGCCTGTATTTTTCCTTGTTTCATGTATTCTTTGATGTTTAATGTGTTTCCTGTTTTATTTTGTCATGTCTGCTTTTACTTCCTGTCTTTGTGTGTTTTGTCAACTGTTTGATTGTCTTCCCCACCCTGATTAGTGTCACCTGTCCCTCACTAGTCTGCAGTCTACTTGCATGTTACACTTCCCTTATTAATAGGCTCGTTCGAGATGAGCCAGGCCTGCGCAGATTCGATCACTGCCAATCGCTGCACAATGCATGCCGGTTAGTTAGTCCGACTTCATCCCGACTTGCTCTGAAGTATTACAAAAGTGGACAGGGATAAAATCATGAGTGCGAGGTGGCTGCAGTTTTTAGAGCCAGGCGCTGCAGTTGCTCTCCACTGACTGCACCGACTGGCTCTCACCTGATCTAACAGCTGATTGGTTTAGATGTTGACTCAACAATATGGCATTTTAGATAAACTTTTGATTTTTGTTGAATTTCAGATCAGGTTTTACTGCTAACAGAAAACATGCTGTGTGACTGATGGTGAAGTTTAGTTGTCAGAGACTTAATACAATTATTATAAACTATACAGAGTCTATTGTATACTAATATTAGCCTGATAAGCAACACAGAGACTTGTGGTCAGTGGGATGTGAGGATTCTTAAAACAACATCTACAGTGAAGCCTTGACTATATCTGACTGATCTTTAATGAAAGCTGTTGTCTTGTATTTTTTTCCTCTGAAAATATTAACCTTATTGTCAAACAATTTATTTAGCCGCTGTAGGCCTAGTTAGAGGGACAGGTCTGCTCTGCTGCAGCAAACTGATATGATGCTGATTTACATGAGAATTCATGTAAAATGGAGGTTGAACCATGAACATAAATTACAGATCACCTGTAAGGCATTTTAAGAAATTAATCTATCATAATGAAAACAATTGGAGACTGAGAACAAACTTATATATGGGTCTGACTATAATATATTATTATATATATATTTAATATATCAACATCATATCGGACAGGATGTGAGTGTTTCTGTGAATTCCTGTACAGACTGAAAGCTGCTGGAAACTCACAGGAAACTGTCCGACTTGACCACATCTTTTTGTCACTATCCCCTGCTGCAGCTGCCTGATCTCATTTACTTTCCAGGCGAGGCGCAATTCATCTCGAACGAGCCTAATGTCTTCTACTCATACCTGCCCAATTCCTCTGTTCTTTTTTCGGATCATTCATTTGTTCATGTCCACTTGTGCTTTCCCTCCATTCCTGTTTTTTCCTGCTGATTCTTCCTGCCTGTTTGCCTGCCTGCCTGCCTGGTCATCTTATTTGCCTGTAAACCTGATTTATTCAATGAAGGTACCTTTTCTGAATCCATCTGCAGGCTGTCCTGCATTAGGGTTTTCCCTGCCTGTGCTGCTTCAGTCAGCCACAACTGATATAGTGATGTGCTTTGTGGCAGTTGCAAATATACAGGAAGTCTTTTTCATATTTTGTCTGTTTCTTTTTTCCAGAATAAAGAAAGAGAGCGCATGAGGGAGCGAGAGAAGGCAGCAAGGGAGAGGGAGGCACGGTACAGCAATGGTCACCTCTTCACCTCACTGACAGTGTCAGGAACCACACTCTGTTCAGCATGCAACAAGAGTATTACTGCCAAGGAGGCACTAAGCTGTCCGAGTAAGTAACACAGTTACTGACCTTCTGAGTACTCAAGTAAAAACAAAGTTCATATAAGGGTGTCTGTCTACTGAGAAAATGTGTGTGTGTCTGTGTGTAAAATTACTTTGGTAGGCATGCAATGCGCTGCGCCTTAATAAACTGTCCTATGTTCGTCTAGGTTTCTGGTGCAGAAGTCAAAGAAATGCCACAATGTAGCAAAGGAAGACTGGCACACAGAACAAAAAAAGATTCAGACTTAAGTCTAGACTTCAAAAATCTCTATTTTGCAAGCTGTAGGGCAGACAGTAAAAAAAAGTGCAAATGTGCATAGAGTGCAAAAAAAAGCAAATGTTACAGTCCATGTAGGATTTTCCTCAGTGTTCATCCCATTCCTATAAATGTGGTGAACCAGTATGCATGCCTCATTCTGCACTATGGAAAGTCCAGCATGGACAGAAATGGTTGTACTTTTTGAACTCTGTGCACATTTGCACATTTTTTCACTGTCTTTGCAGCCCTGCAACATAGAAATAGAGATATTTGAAGTCCAGACTTCAGCCTGAATCTTTTTTTTCTTTCCTTTGCTACAATGTAAAATGGCTTTGCACACACACACAGACACAAACACATAGTGCTGGCAAGGTTACTTTTGAATAGATTGTAGGTTACTAGTTACCCTGGTAAATCTGTAATAAGTAATGTAGCTATTTAAATCACTTCAAAGTAATGTAACTTATTATATTTGATTACTTTTAGTTTGTTGAGGACATGTTTGTGTTTATGTCTTGTGTCTTTATTTTTCCAGCATGCAGTGTCACTATTCACAACCGCTGTCGAGACACTTTGCCAAACTGCACCAAAATGAAACAGAGGGTAAGACACATTCTGCACTACACATCTTCACAACACTATTCACTGGTAGATGTTATCAACGTGTTAAGAGTTTCCTCTATGTTTTATTATTTACACTATTTAGATAGTCATGATATTTTCCTTCTAAAGACCGCTTTGCACTGTGGTGAACATGGTGAAGTCTTTGGTCATCAGTTAAGTGGTTCTAGATTGCACAGTGACACGTCTTGTGAATAACTATTTGGAGCTTCGGCAAAGTCTTTTTGTACAGTTTTGTACATTTTAACACAATTTCATTCCCACATTTGTGAAAGAAAAACACTTTTTGGGAAAGTCTGTGACTAAACCATCAAATCTGATAAAGGTTATTTAAATGCTGAGCCACAGCAAAAGAGGAATCATAAAAGAAACATATCGTAACCCTAATTTCTGGGGAAGACAACTCATTTTGATACAGCAGCTCCTCAACATACACATAAACAGTATGTATGTTTCTGTAGTAAACCAGCCCACTATAGTGAGTACCAAAAATACCAAAAATGGACCCTGGGCTTATTTTTTGGACTTTTATTTGAAATGAAATGCACAACATGTAACATTAACACATTAACAGTAATTGACTTTTTCAATGTTGGTCTCTGCCTTTTTCCTTCTTATCACAATAGGAGTTATAATATTAATGGGCATCCAGTCAAGTAGCTAGTCAGTAGCACCTTGGCTATAATATTAACACATGCACATGACACAACAGCTAGCTTCTCTCATTCCAATTCAAACAGAGGACAGTGGTATTAACCACCTGTAATGTTTCTTAGCTAGAAAAAACATCAGCTAACGCCTACCTAACAACATAAACAGTGACCTACGATTAAATGCAGCAAAAATGAGGACTGGTAATGATAATAATGTGTTGGTATTGAGGGGTATTTTTGTTGTTAAAATATTACGTTTCAACCAAGTACTGTATGGTTTTGACACTTTTCTAGCTTGTTAAAAATGGACATACAGTAACAAAAATAAAAAATAAAAATCTCTCAAATATTAGGGGTTCTTGGATTCAATTTAGGGGTGCTTCAGCACCCCCAAATATGGGCTAAGAACACCTATGGCTGTGGGAGATTGTCTGCAGTGTTATGTTTGAATAGTTCTAAAATAAGAACCACAATAGCTTGAGTATTCAGTCTTTTTTCAGCACAAAACGAACACTTCTGTCTTCTTGTCATCGCATCATGACCTCATGTTACCTTATCTTAAGTATAGTGCAAGTGTAATTATGTTATAATTTCCCTGTAATGGCTGCGGGAGATCGTTGCTTCCATAGTTCTGTATATATCGACCTAAAATAAAAACTATAATAGCTATATTTTTCTTTTCGAAACAAAAATCTAGGGCTTCTGTCTTTTGTGTTATCATGTTGGATGCTCACAATAACATAATTGCGCTACGTTACATGTGGTGTGAACCACATGAAAATGTCCGGTGGCGCCAGAGGAGTGAATGATGAATCCATCATAGTGCTTTTTCACTCTCCTCATAAAAATGAGCTTATCTCAAAAACAAAATGATGTACATAGTTCAAATAACTCATGGAGTGTTAAGAAATATTTAGTTTGTGTTTCTACATTTTAAAATCTTTGGGATCAATATGTCTTATGTTTTTATTTAGTAAAATCTATAAAACAGTCTGATTTTTGCATTTTTTATGACACAATTTCAATACTTTTATCAAGTATTATGGTTTATTGGCTTACATAACCTTAACCACAACCTTACATAGCTTGGGTTGTACAGATTTTAGGGATATGAAACATTTTAAGATACTCAAAGCATACAAACATCTACTGTAGAAATGGTGCATAAGAGAACTTTTCAACATTATGTTTTAAAAAAACACAGTGTCTCTCCATGTACTGCAGCCTGCAATTACACCTTCAAATTGCTAGCTGGCGGTGGTGTTTCAGTGCAACTGTGTTACTTTCTGTGAAGTACAATATTTGTCTCCATTATAACTCAAAGTTTACAGACAAAACAGTTGTAATTTGCTGGACACATTTTTATGAGGGGCCATCAGGGACATTATTCAGAATTACCTCTTACATACACTACTGAAACACTCTCACATAAACAACTGAAAAATTATTCACTCAGACACACTACTAAAACGCTCTCACACATACAAGTGAAATGCTCTTATATACACTACTGAAACGCTCTCATACATACAAGTGAGTGAAACGCTCTCACACACACTAGTGAAACGCTCTCATACACACTAGTGAAATGCTCTCATACACACTACTGAAACGCTCTCGCACACACTAGTGAAATGCTCTCACACACACTACTGAAACGCTCTCATACACACTACTGAAATGCTCTCACACACACTACTGAAACGCTCTCACACACACTACTGAAATGCTCTCATACACACTACTGAAATGCTCTTATATACACTAGTGAAACACTCTCACACACACTACTGAAATGCTCTCATACACACTACTGAAATGCTCTTATATACACTAGTGAAACACTCTCACACACACTACTGAAATGCTTTCATACACACTACTGAAATGCTCTCATGCACGCACAACATTTTGCATAAACTACTGAAAAGCTTTACCACATACTAGTAAAATGCACACAGCTGAAATGCTCTGAAATAGAATGTTAAACTATAACAGTTCAGTGGTGAATATTAAAATTATAGTTAAACAGGAAGGCCCTCCTGTCATGTGATGGAAACAGGAAGACCACACAGGGAAGTGCATGTGCTTTTGCTGAGTTTGAAGTACTTCAACCCTTGCTTCAACCACAATGTATGTTCATCTGATATTCTTCATTTTTCAAATCCAAGCTTTATTTTTTGAAGTGAGAGGCAATGAGGAGGATGTTTTCGTTTTTTTTACTAGTGCTCTGCAATGCATTGAGAGGCTGCAAAGAGAGGAGTCTGACAATTTCCATCAGGAGAGGCTTTATAGAGAGCTTAATGAGCATACTCAAACTCTATCTGCATTTCTTGCTGTGTGTGATGATAGGGATGTCGGAAACCTTCTAGGATCATTGTATAGATGCTTTCGCAACTTGCTGCATGAACATGAGGCCAGACAGAGATCCACTGAAGTGACCACAAATTTGGCACCTCCAACAACCTTGACTGGCCATCCAGGACAGCCCAGATACAGCATAGCCACTGAACAGATTTCTCACTGTGTGTCCATCGGTATGTCATGGCAGAGAATTGCATCATGCTTTGGAATTAGTCGAAGAACACCATACAGACACAAAGACTGGGAATTGAGCCATTAAGGTATTCTGTATTGTCAAATCAAGACCTGGACAGAGTTGTAACTCATATATTACAGAACACTCCAAATGCAGGTAAAGCATACATACTTGGAAGCCTGAGATCGCGTGGCTTGAGGATTCAGCGCTGGCGGGTCAGACAGAGCCTGCATCAAGTGGATCCTATTGGGCGATCATTTAGACGTCGTCTTGCTATACATCGAAGAGTCTATAGTGTTCAGGCCCCTAACCAATTATGGTAAGTAAATGTTATGTATAAGGAAAACAAGTACATATATACATATGTATGTGTGTGGCACGCATCACGCATATACTGTATACACACACACACATATATATATATATATATATATATATATATACAGTACAGGCCAAAAGTTT